TATATTAAAATATTATAAAATTTATAACTAAAATTGTCTTTTTTTTTACCATGTGAATGTCTCACAATTGAGTGATAACAAAATGTTGTGGATTTAAAAAAAAGAATACAACATGTTTTTGATTTATCTATAAATTATTATAAATTATTCTTTTGTGAATACTGTATTTGTGAATGATTTTTTTTTTTTAATTTCTTTTTTATATAAACACACAAGAACCAATTACAGGATGCAACTATTTTTTTCTATAAACTAAGGTCAGGTTCACACAAGAGCCCTAGTATCCAGATCGGGGGCTAACTGTTAGCACTGCGTTTGAACGCCTAATTGGTTAGCACTAACGGTTACCAGGGTCTGGATACGCTAACGATTAGCGAGCGCTATCTGTTAGCAAGTTGAGTGTGTTTCTATCATTAACCAATCACACATATGCATTTCCAATTTCCAGTTTCCTATCGGCCAGTAATCCCATCATAATCTTCTTCTTCAGGATTTCTTGTATGAATGCCCGGATGAGCGCGTATATTTGTAATCCCGATACTGCTAACTGTTAGCTGCCATGTGCGAACATAGCCACATTCTCATTATCAGATTTAGGGAATTGATTTCTTTTTCATGAAAATTAAACCATGGCCTTTAATTACTGTTGTTATATGGCATAGACTTTTTGAGCCAGACAGCTAGGATTGAGTATTTCCATCCATTTTAAAGCTTATAGTTCTGCATGTCGATTCCGATTATGTGCGTTTAATATTAGCAAAAGTTCACTGTATGCCGCCTACATATGCATTTTCCAGTAATATAATTCTAACTTACTAACTTCAATCAAAATAAGACGATAACAATAACATGGCTGCATCTTAGTTGGTTTCTTAATGTGTTTTTAATAATGTAGCTTGGGCAGTAGAGCTATTTCTTATAGAATAAAAAACGGTCACTGTTTTTTTTTATATTTTAACTTTACTTGCATGAGGCAATAATCTTTTTCTGCTAATTTTTAAAACGATAGTTTGCTTAGTATATTCAAGAACAAGTAGCATGTATGAAAATGTTGTTCTAAATACAGTATTTGTATTTTCTGTAACATTAACAATAGTGTTATTTATTTATTGAATTCTTGTGCAATTTACATGAATTTATCTTGTTCATATTCCAACATTTTTAACACACACATTTAGATTTTATTTGTTTGACTTTTTTGACAAAATTATTTACATATATGAAAGTATTTCTTGTACAGTATAAAAACATATCACATTCACATGTCATTACTGACTTCAGAAATAATTTACTTTTAGGCCAATGAAAATATTATTGTTTGAAGTCAATTACAGGTATATGCAGACAGAGTTCATGTTTCCGCAAAGTCATTTTAAATAATTTGAATTTACATTTCATTGTCATTTACATTTTTCCATCATATTTAACAACTGGTGTCCATGGGTCATACTGTAAAGTTTTGTAATTGCGTGGATGGTACCTCAAAAATTAGGGAGTAACTAAAATTTCCGCAAAAAAATCTTTGGAAGCTGTTTTCTTAAAACCTACATGGCTGATATCCAATGAATTAAATATTCATAATTTTGCTAATACTCAACCAATTTCCATTAAATAAATACTGTAATAAAGGATTCATGCAGAATCTATAAAACTCCAGATTAAATCTTTTCTACAAACAGCTAGTTTTGCCAAAGCTGGTCACTTATATTAAGATGAGGTCAAAGCCTAATTTTCAGCAAAATCTGCACGGAAATCGGCCCTTATCTTCAGAAATGCGCAGACGGATTTCTAAGCCTAATTTTTGAGCAGAAAATATATTCCTGTGCAGGCCTTACTTTACAGTCTGGTCTATGGGGACCCCCCAAACCATTGTAATCAAGGCAATCATACTGATGACGTACATACTATATAACATATAACACATTACCCAAGAACTTAGACATTGTAGTTGAATATGAGCACCTTAACCATTATGCTTTACAGTTCAAAATTTTTGACATCCACCGCCATTTTAAATATAATTATGCAAATGTTATTGTTTGACTTTTACAATGCATACATCTTCTGAAAAACTTATGATTATAGTAATTATTATTTTTGAAATCTTCATTGTTCCATATTTCTGTTCAAGCAATTTTAAATATTAATTGCATTAAAATTTGTGCATATTGTTTACACACTTAATACCAACTCAACTATAAATGTTCATGCATTTATCAAATTTTTTTTACAAATTTTCTCACTATCTTATAGACCGAAAATGAGGCAATTGAAATGGGAATGACTAGCTACAGTTGTCATAGTGATAATCCAGAAGATCGCCGACTTTATGGTCAAAAGCAACCAGTATCTCGAGTTCAGTCATTGCCGTTTAGTTTCAAGCCGTACTGCGAAAATGACAGCTCTACTGCAACCGAGGCTGAGACGCATCCAGGTAAATTATGCTATACTTGTATAAATACTGTTTTTGGCATGGAGCACTTGCTGGTATGCAATGTTTTCATTGCATATTGCACATCTTGAGTCGTTTTTTATCCATTGCCTGAAAGGTTTGGGCTGCAAACGCAAAGACTTAATAAAAATCAAATTCCCACTGTGAATTATAAATTGAAATGAAATGGAACTACAGTAAAGATGTCAAAATTAATGCTTGATATTTTCTAATTTGATTTTTGCAGAAAGCAGAAAAACCCGTCAGAGGTCGTTGAGAAAAAAAGGCCGTCAATCTGGCCAATTTTCAGCTGCTTCCAGAGTATCCCAGTCACCTAGCCCAGAAGTTAGGAAAAGGAAATCAAAGAATGAGTCTAGGGACTCACTGAACAATTTGAAGGGAACTGATGAACAAAAGTTAATGAACAATAGTGTCTTCATTCCTGTGCCAGCAATCGTGCTGCCTCCCGGAAATGAGGACACAAATTATGACGATTTTGAGGTCTCGGCTGATGACTCTACCGACAAGACTAGACTCAGTTCGTCAAATACACTACAGTTGCAAGATCCAAAGCTAGAACAGTCATATGAAAAATTAATAGAATTAGATGATGAAATTCTGGCAGGATCCTCTACAGATGATGCTAGACCAGAAACTGATGGAAATAATGTACAAAAGGAAGCTGAAGTCTCTCCGATGGCTTCCTTGTCTATCAGTGATGACATTTTTACTATGCATGTAAATGAAAAGTGTGTAGCTTCACATGTTAGTGATGACGTATCTTCAAGCTCAGCTGAGGATCAAAACGATAGTCAACCAACACGTGTGATCCGAGGATCAAGGCGTGCTGAGAAGGAGGATGTGGAGAATAATAATGATGATGTGGCTGCTTCTTGTGATGAGCAAGAAAAGGACAATGTCTGCCACGCACCAAATTCAGTTTACCACCGGGGAAGACGGCCCAGTCCTCCAAAGGATCTGGTACAGGACAGTAAAGATCTGGCGAGCTCCTGCGATGAGCCGAAAAGGGACAACGTTAATTGCCAAGTGCCTAGTTTATCTGTTCCTAGGGTGTCAAGCCCTAGGCCTCCTATAAGGGCTACCACTGTACAGAACAATAATAATAATAATGTGGAAAGCTCTGGCGATGAACGCGAAAAAGACAATATTTGCCAAGTACCTAGTTTACTTGTCCCTAGTGCATCAAGCCCTAGGCCTCCAAAAAGAGATGCTGTGAAGAGTGTTGAGGATGATAATAATTTTTCCATTCCGTTGACTCTGCCGTTGCCGTCCGTGCAAGTGGAAGAATGTGGAACCCAAAATCATTTAGACCAATGAAAACAGTATAATTATGTGCGCTTCACATATTATGGGTGGACTTGTTCGGTGTTTGTTTATTCATTTTTCTGTAGACTTCAGGCAGCATGCTTTTTTCATTTTGTGCACAAAAGTGGATATGTGGGTGGGGGTGTGTGTGCGTGTGTGTGTGTGCATGCATGTATGCTGTCTTGATAATATAGCTGATAGCAATGTGTTCACATGTTGGTTAATCAATGACTTAAAAAAGACTGAAGGGAAGTACTACCCCTGTCTCCCGTGGTGTTGCTTATAAATCTGATGGCTTGGGAAGTTTTAGATATTAAAATGATGTGTATTTATGGACATAATAACTACTGTTACCACAAACGCAAGTATTCATTAATTTTGATTTTCATGATTTTTAAAAGCACATGATAGTAAATTTGGTATGTGCGATAAACCTCCCCTCTGTACATTTATTATCATCATGATTTTTAAACAATACAGAAAAAAATACACAAATGTGTTAGGCTTAAAGAACATTTTATTTTATACACCAATATTTATTTCTTTAATTATTATTCCATTGTTTAAAAAAAAAAAATCAAGTGAATTTCCTAACTTATAGAATTTTGATGAATTTGAATATAAATTCTAAAGACTGAATTCCACATTATTATGCAACAACTTTGACCGTCCCCTCTTCTGGAATATTTCCCTTCTTCAGTACCTTTCTGTACCCTGAAATGTTCCCCTACTCTGTGCAGATGTGGTATAGAATGTTGAAATGTAATGCTCGTGTATGTATTTATTTAAAATAAAATACCTTTTAAATTATATCTTGTTGTATAGTACTACATGTATATACATTTATAGGGAAGGGGTACATGTTTGAATGTTGGAAGTGAGATGGAGAAAAATCTATGAAATCCCTCAACACACTATATTTTAAAGGGCAAATTTAATTAAATATATCTATAAAAATTTAGTTCGCAAATACTTTGCTTTTTATATGAATAGAATTCATTTAAATTCATCTTCTGTAAAAAAAAATTATAAATTGATATTCAGATTTACATCACCATTAAATTTCTGTTTAATTTATTTGTTAATAGTATAATTTTTTTATATAATTATGTTTAATTATTGTTAATAATATTTCATTGATAAGTTACTTGCATTTGAAATACTTTATTAATTATTAATAATTAATGACACAATAAAAAAGGCCTTCCATTTAGGAGAGCTTGCAAAATTCTCTTGGAAATTACTGAAAATTAAAAACATATCAAAAGGGAATATTATACAGAAAATATAAAACTAGCATATAACTATCAATGGTATTTTACTATTATTATTATTTAATAATTTCTATTTTCAGTGTCCCAGTGTACGTCCCAATTCAACTTGGCTGCCAAGGTCCCCAGAGCCTCAGCCATAAATTCCCTGCTACGCAAATGGGATAAATATGTCACATTTGTTTTTATTGTTACTACCTTCATTATTTTTTATAATTACTGTGATGATCATAAATTATTATTATGAATAATGTTATTTTGTATCATGTTTTCTGAGTGTTATTTTGACTGCCATATTGATGATTATTAATAAAATCATTAATGTGATGAAGAAACATGGACACAATTATGGGGAGTATCAAGAAACCAATGATTGTGTGCAATGGTATATTTCATTTTGTAACCTCTCATGCAATTTATATTACAGATTTTAATAATATTTAGTATTCTATTAGATAGGACCTCAATTATGGACTTCTCATAACATATTTATAATGAATATCTATTTAAATTATCTATTTAAATTTTCAAGTTTATATGCAGAAATATATAAATTATTTTAAATGATTTCAGTATTCGTAATGCAATGAGAGTTTTGTTGCAAATATTTCTCACATTTTTCTGTATCATAAAATACTTTTGAGTTGTAACAAACCTGGATCTTTCAATCATGTAAGGTGGAATTTTAAGATTACAAACAAATTACATATTTACCTGACTATAACTTGGAATGTTCCTATCATCAAAGTTGAAGTGCACCCTCATTACTTTTTACATGAATGCTGTGTAAGTGAATAATTAGTTGTTCTACCAGCTAAATATCCACTACCAATTATAAATCATGTTTCAATTTTATCAATGCGAATTAAAAAACTAAAAATTCTCTCAAAAGCTGTTAACAACATTTCCATCATGTGAGTCCATATAATATAGTCATGATGTGCCTCTATGGTCGTGATGTGATGTTGTCATGACCATATTTAGGCATGTCATATGGCTCAAGATGAATTAAACAATTTCAGATTTACTTTTCAGATCTTTCAATATTTTCCAGTATAGTCAAAATAGACATCTTTCTGATAAGCATTGTATTTTTACAATAATGGTTACATTTGCATAATAACTATGAGCTCTCACTGGCTACAGCCAGGACTCCTGGCATTAAGGACCCCATGAACTTAGGGGGCCAGGACCTTGAGGGGTCCAGGACCTTGAGTGCACCTCAGGACATTAATCAGTGTTTTTCCCCTAGATCTTGAGCTCAAATCAGCCCATCCTTTGAGATGTTTAAAAAACTGTCAAAATATGCCCTTAAAATTTTAAAAGCCAGAGCAGATGGAAATTTACCCCATACTAGAAAGAAACTGTATTTGGGCCCAGCCTCCATAGGTAGTATGACTTCATGCCTCTTGTTTTTATGCCACTGGCTGGTTTTTACCTATGGCACAAATTGTCCTTGATACAAAGCTGTCTTTATAAATTGAAGTTATATAATAATTATGTTCAATATTTTCATTTGTTTTATAATTAATACTTATATATTGATATTAATTATGCAATTAGGTATCAACATATTGATTTCCATTTGTTTGTGGTGCAAATAAATATTTTTTAGTTTCTAATGCACCAACACCTACCATGAAATTTAGCTTTACATTGATTATTTATAGTAGTAAACAAATACTAAATGTATCAATTAATTTGATGTTGCCAAAAACATTAACCTCCTAGAATTAAAGTTTCGTTGGACATTAATTTGGGAAAGATTTAACAACCACTGGTAAATGCAGATGGCAATAATGAATTTTTGAATATTATATTCTATTTTTTAAATTATTATAATTATTCAATCAATTTTTACTTGTTCATTTTGATAATTTAATTTTCAAAGCGATTTGTTTGAATGTTTTTTTTTTTAACATTCATAATTACTGTATTAAGTTCAATAAAAGATAGTTCAGACTTTTGTACCTATTTGGGGGAGTCGGTTATTAAACATAATTGACAATTTTTTTTAGGTAATGTATTATCAAGATTGTGTAAGAAAGCTATGTATTATTTGTATGAAAACCACGCCTATGACGCGGGGATCATCAAAGTTAGGTCAAGAAAAGTGGTAGATAATTACGTCAGCTTGGCTGTAGGCCACGTCTTCATGTAAACTAACATATGTATCAATATGTCTACGTCATACAAGTTATTAAGTTTTAAGTTGGTGCACAAACAATATAGCTAAACCTTCAACAATTTTAAGTCAGCATTACGTTGAAATGAAGTTAAACATTACGTTAATTTATATTTAATTTTTGTTTCTCAGTTGGTTTCATTTTTGCGGGACAAAGGAATTGAAACTAAATGTTTAGAAAATATTCAAGAATTCGTAAATCTAAGATATTTATTATTTTTACTTGAAAACTGCAACAGAGGGCTGTGAATATTTTGGTATCATAGCAACAGACTGAAATGGTGAAAACAAAGATGTTAATAAATATTAATTAGAAAAATCATGTGGAATAGTGTTACAATATATTTTGTTCTATTATGACCTAAAACTTTTTTGACATATAGAATATTTAGTAATAATAAGTCCAAACTACGGTAAATCGGAATTGACAGTTTAGTTTATTTTTACAGAATTAAAACTTTTATTATAATCATTTCATATGGTACACATATCCAATGGAAAGTGGCGTAACACCTATGGGGCCTATGGGCTCACTGGGAGGGAGTCGGGTCGGAAGCTCCGGAGGTGCCTCATATTAATAAACAGAGCCTTGACATGGTCCAGTAGAAAAACCCCAAAAGAAAAAACACCGAATAAATAAATAAATAAATGTAAATCCAGTGATTTTACTCATGAATGTCCTGAATAAGAGTGGACATGACAAACACTTCTTTAATTTTATAAATAAGAATGTCAATTCTCATCCCAATGTGTTGGACAACCAGGCTCCACTAAAAATTTAAAAAAAATAAAGCACCCAGCAAAGAAATTGCCTTTCTTCATTTAGCGCATTATTATTGTACTATAGGCTCACCTGATTGTACTGTATACTATATCACCACTTTCATATTGTGTAATAATATTCTGTAATATTTACATATGCATGATGCCAGTCTACCGTCACTCACTATAGGAAGCGAGTGCGCTAAGAGCTCGCTTCTGACTGAAAATGTGCCAATTTGCCTCATAATACGATAAAGATACATTGATAATAAATTTTTCCTTCTAACATTTTAATATTGTTTTAACTTGTTTCTCCCAGAGGTTTGATAAAAATATTTACACTAATAATCAATAATTCATTGTATTAATAATAAAATAAATTATAGTAATTATAATGGTAATAATAATTATTATTTTGAATATTTGCATGCGAAGTAATAACTTGGCAGATTCAAATAATTCTCAATTGACTTGAATCTTTTGCATCTGCTAAAAAGTTACCAGCAACGATGGAGTGACGAGGATGGTCCACATCTAAATATCTGTGTGAATAAACAATTTTCAACCTGCTGCTCTCTGTTTGAATAGTGATTGTATCAGAACGATAACATGCAGCAAAAGGCTTGGTCAACTTGGTACACATTCAGAACCTTTTTTTTGATTGCCCATAGACCAGACTCAGTGGCGTTATACAGCACGATTTGAAAACATTTTTATCGAAATGAAACAGCTATAATATTGAATCAAACAATTTATTCGGTATATAAATTCAAATAAATATTTACAATGGATTGTAGTGGTACATCTTTATAACATTTTACAACCAATATTTACATGCATATTATGATTTGTTGGTGACAATGTGTGTGTGGGTGTGTGTGTAGACCTATTGACATGCAAAAGAAAAATTAGCAGTTAGCTGAATATCTTTGAATATGGTTTTAGACTGATTAACATACAATCACATGTTTTTTTTAATTTTTTTTTTATGGTGCACTGTTATCAAATTTTACGACAAATTTTTACATGTACATTATAAAAGATTTGTGTAGGCGACAGGCAAAACAAACAGCAGCTAGCTGAATAATATCTTTGACTATCGTTCTTACAGCCAATAAAAAAAAAAAAACAAAAAAAAAAACAAAAAAAAAAAAAACACTTTTAATTAAATTAATCTCCGTTTTCATACACACTTGCCAAAGTAAATTTCAAAGACAACCGTTTTTCTCATTTTCAATGACTCCCATGCATATGTTTAGCAATCGGATCGATTGCGGGCCAGAGTAGGGGTGTGTCAAATAGATAAGGCACAACAGGGCGGGGGTAGTGATGTGTTTACACACAATATTTTATTTATAGACTGTGTATGTTTACACTGACTGACTATATAATGACGAAAAAAGACACTAGGAAGGCATTTCTTCCCTAACGCAAACTTTAGAAGCAAATGGAAGACAGATCACTGATTATTGAAAATGTTGTTGTTTTGTCACGTTGATCGGCAGATGTGAGCCATAGAAATGATTTTCCTAAAGGTAGTTTTACTTCTATATTATTATTTTTTTTTGTCAATCGAACGACGAGTAGATAACCTTTCTTTCTGACACTTTACATAGAAGAAAATATAAATATTTTTTAGGAGTTTGAATTAATGATTGCAATATTTATCATGTCTAAAATTAATGGTTAGAGGTCTACTGCACCCTCCAATTAGTTATACTTCTATATTACTTACTATATGGTAGATAACCTCTCAAGTGGATACTTGATAATTTTTAACCCTTGAATCTGCCACTGTAGACTTCTATCTAGCCAGTCAAAATAGATCATTCGGCTCTCATTGAACATGAAATACAATGCATTAAACATTTTCAAGAGACATAGACCGACTTATTTAGTGTAGATGATGGAGAAAACCATTATATATCTCTCAAATGTATTATTTTAACAGGAATTGTGTTTTCTGCTATTATTCCTTGCTGGATTTTGTACAGGTAAGATTAAAGCCACACAACGCTAGACACGACAAAAATAGTTTTTATCTCGGACTTCCTTAGTGCTATAACACTGTCTACATTATTTATATAATATACATTTATAATATAACTGTCTACATTATTTATACAATAGCTTGCGCTATCCATCTGCCTCATTCGACAATATCTTTAATTGTAAATTACATGAAACCCGATGAAAGATATAAAATTTATGACCAAAATATTCATGTAGAAATACATTTAATGTATTTCTACATGAATATTTTGGTCATAAATTTTGGTCATATAATTTATATATTAATCTATAGCTTCATGAATGTGTCTGTCAGATTTTAATTATTGATTTGTATGAATTAGGTGATGATAATGAGCTAAAATTGAATATGGTAGGCTTCACATCCACTCCTGCTGTTCAGAACTCTAAGAAAACTATTATTCGTGGCTACACTCTTGGTTCCGACAGATCAGATAATATCACACTCAGCATTGATTGGTTAGACAATATAGGGCATCTTTCAGGAAACCAACTTTGTAACAATTCTAATGCGAGTGAATTTGCTTATGTTGAATGTAACCTTGTCAATACTGATTTCGCTAAGTACCGTCAAGCTACCATTAGTTGCTCAAATAGTGGCTGCACAGATAACGCCCGAATCGGTGTATTCACTGCGTACGTTGAGAAAGATACGCGAATTGCCACCGCTACAATCATTGTTCACCATAATAATGGTAAGTTTACTTACTTTGTCAGTGTTTTTATCATTAGAAATGTTAACTCATCAGCAATATTAATAATATTCAACAAAATAGGCATATATGTTCAAGTTATTATTATTATTATTATTATTATTATTATTATTATTATTATTATTTATTATTATTATTATTATCATCATAATCATCATCGTTATAATTAACATTATCATCATCATTATCATTGTTATTGTTATATTATCATTATTATGAATATTATTCGGCCTCTTTATTAGTAATTCTATTGACATTATTTAATATTATTATTATTATTTATTATTATTGTTATTATTATTATTTAACGTCGTTATAATAATACCTATAATTACCATAAATTCTAAAATTTAATATTAATTTATGATAACGATAATAAGAATACACCACTCCCATGCATATAAGTTTCCAAATTATGCTCATTTTCCAAAATAGTTTGCTAAAAAGTTTTTAAAATAAATTGTAAGTAGCGGTTTGGGGCAGCGGGAACGGTTTGGTTTCCCAACCTCGTGGTCGGTGTTTCAATCCCTCGCTGTGCATTGCGCTTGTGTACTTGAGCAAGACACTTTAGTACGGCAGCTTAGGGCCACATTTGGACTTAATGTGGACGTTCCGGACAAAAGCACCAATTTTTTTTTACATGCCCCTTATGGTCATAGCATTCAATTTTTGGTAGGAACCACCTCATCCGAGGTCATTATGGCGGCGATCTTGGATTTCAAAATGGTAGCCTTATAAAACCTATGTTTATCTATATCTCCGCTTCTAAATCACTTTGAATTATAATTATAATGTCTAAGAGTATGTTTATATGATCGAGGAACACCAATATCATATTTGATCTGGTCAGATTGCCACAAATAGGTCATTTAAGGTCAAATATTGTATGGTATCTTTTAAAATTACGTAATTGTCAAATTTTACATTAGCATCATACCCAGGCTCTCAGAATTCAAACT